ATTTAATTTACTCAATAAACATTTCACGAGCACCTATTATATGCAAGGTAGTATTCTAGACACTGGAAATATAGAAATGAATGATGCACACAATGATTCAGAGCAATCACGTGAGCTTCCTATTCTCCTGTGCTGGATTACAGAATTCATGCCTGGCCAAAACGCTGGTGCTGGCTAGGACTCTGATCTTCAGAGGGGGATAGAGAAGTGGTGAGGAGAGATTTTTAGTTACTTCTTGAAAGCCACCAATTGGCTGAAGGAGCCTAGAGCCCAAAGTAACTAGCTGAAACACATCAGTTGTACACTACAAAAAATATATCCCATGAAGTTTCAAGTTCCCATAGCAATACACCTCTGTGAATTGCACTAGTTCCATGTGAAGGATCTGAAGTACAACCCAGGACTGTGACATTTTCTGCCTTCTTGATCTTAAATAGTTTAATTTAAAAATCCCAAAGGATATATCCCCAGCTCTTAAGTTATCCATTCTTCTCTCTTGACAGGATTTCCCTACTACCTATCCCCACTCCATTTGCCTGATTAAGAAAAAAACTATCTTTTTCTACAGTATAAAAACCCAAGCATCTCGTAGGTTTCAACTGAGAAGAGCTCAGGCTGAGTAATGAAAATGAAAGAGTCAATTCCTCAATAAAAGAGTGTTTGGGATGCTGGAACCACTGTCTTTTCTCACATAAGGACCACCTCGTCGCCCCCCGCTCCCCCCGCCCTCCGCCCTCCGCCCTCCGCAAAAAAGAATTATTTCGTGATCGCTACTGAGAGCAAGTCATGATGAATTTTTATGAGGATGGCACTGAAGGCTTTTAGAGACCTTGACATTTAAGTTTTTTCCTACTTACTCTTTCAACATGAGCGATGTGCTTTCTGTTCTGGTACAAATAATAGGGTCAGGGATTCAAGACTTATTCAGGTATTATCAATATAGGGCTGGTTGATAATGGGGACTAAAGTAAGAATCACAATTCATCAGAACTTATCTCACATCATTTAACAAAAATTAATAATACAGATAACCTTCTGAGGAATTTTGGCCAAGTCGACCTGTCCAAAAGGGCCATGCCCATTTGTCAAGAGAACAAAGAAATTTGGAAGATTTAAAACAAATAAAACATTCCTAATTGGCTTCAGTGGAGTGATCACTCCTGCCTTTTACTTACCACTGGAAAGATGATATCAGAAAGATTGGCTTTCCTTGATTCCTGCAAACCTTTAGTGGGCTTATAAACGAGATCCCAGCCCAAGCAGAAGGATGACCAAGGTATGAGAAAAACTTTAATGCTATGGTTAAAAGACCAATTGAGCTCTGTTCTTGTATATTTATTATACAATAGTAATTCATGTGAAGCCACCAAATATGTCCTGCACGGTTGACTTTGTCCCACATGGCTATGCCAAGACACTGGGAGTTGCCTGAATTCTGTGCCAGGCTTCAGGCAAAAGCTAGCACTCAGCTCTTTCCTTCCTGCTCTTGGAACTTCAGAAGTTCATGGTCAGAAGCAAAGTGGACTGCCAAGTCAGGACTCTCTGGTCCACCCAGAGGCCTTCTCCTGGCGATGTATGGCAGGCAAGCCCTAAAGTGGAGCTTAGCCCATGAGAGTTCTTGCCTTTGCCCAGGAAAGAATCCAAGGGCAAGCTAGAAGTAGAAGAAAACAGCTTTATTGAAGAGGCAGTGTTACAGTTCCAGCAGTGTTAAAGCTCTGTGACTGTAGCAGAGAAAGGCTACCCCTTAGGCGAAGAGTGGGGCTCAAGGCAGTTTTGCAGTCATATTTATACCTACTTTAATTGCATGCAGATCAAGGGATGTTTTGTGCAGAAATTTCCACAGAAGGGGAAGTAACTTTTGGGTCATCGGGTCATTGTCATGGAAAGGGGCAGTAGCTCCTGAGTTTTGCCATGGCAAAGGTAAATTGACATGGCATGCTGGTGGGCATGTTTCATTGAAAACTGCTTCCTCCCCTGCCATTTTACCTAGTCCCCAATCTGGCCCAGTGTCTAAGCCTTGCCTCTAAAATTGAGCCCTGCCTTCTACCTCACTAGGAAGCAGAAGCCTAGTATGTAGTAAGATTCAGATTGTACCAGAAGAAGCATCCCCCAGTGTGCTGATTCTTTTTTGGCCTGACACACTAGAGACAGGCCTTAATTGACAAGCAAAGGGCAGGGGAATGGAGACATGACTTGTTCAGGCTTAAGTGTCTCTATCTAATAGATGTGCTGGGAATTCCCTTGTCTTTAATCTGCCTAAGTACAAAAGTGTGTGGAGGCACTGGCCCAACCTCAATACCTTTTCAAGCCTGGACTCTTGAACTTGGAGTACCAATGCAATAAACTTTTTGAGAGTAATATAAAGCCTGATAGAATACATGGGTGCTGATGGTACAGCTGGGGAAGCAGAAGAGAGAGGGGAGATAGAGCTTTCACTGTGCCACACCAAAGATCCCAAACACCCATCCATAGCCTCCTTCAAGGATGGGGGAATCTATTGTAGTTGCTCTAATGTTTGGCCTGTTGCATATCTCATGGTGCTCTTTTTAGCCTCGTCTTCTCTCTTCTTCACAAAATAGATTAAAAGGATGTAAATTTTCTTTTTTGTTTGGGTCCAATCTAGATAGGTGGGTTCAAACCTTCCTCACTCCCAAGTCCAGACTAGGTTCCTGATTTCTCTCTCTACCAAACTCTGCTCTCCTACACACACACACATTGCCTGGGCAACTTGACAAGTTAAAGGCTCAATTTGAGTCTTCATTTAATCCTGGAGGATTTAGTCAAGGTCCTTTAAGGGAAAGAGCACTGAAATAGAATCAAAAGATCTGAGTTTGAGAGTCACCTCATGCTGTGTGGCCTTGGGTGAATCACTTTATGTCTCTGAGCTTCAATTTTTGATTTGTAAAGTAAAGCCACCTGTCCCTGACCATCGTATGGCCCAGTTTTTCAAATCCACATGAGATGACAGAGATAAAAGGATTTTGCAAACAGTGAAAAACTTTGGAAATAGCAGTTATTATAAACTCAGTGGATTAGAAATTTCATGGGTCCTGTCAGAGCCAGACAATCACAATAATCATCTAATTGAATACTGAGATATGTTTTCCCCACCATCAGTCAGCCAGGGAATGAGTCACCAGGGAGAAATTGTGGATGTGTGCCCTGGGGTATTCTCAGGATAAATACCTTAGTATTGTACCAAACTTTAAAAAGCATGTATTTGAGAGTCATCTCTGTGGCCAGGCCACTATATAAACTTGAGCGTAATATCAATTTAAAAAAAAACTAATAGGAGCCACAATTTACCAAGTACTTCTTACAGGACAAGCATGAGCTAAGTGCTTTGTTATGTGCATTCTGTAATTTAAGCCTCAGAACAGCCTATAAGAAAGAACCTATTTTTATCCTCCTTTTTATATATGAGAAAACCAAGGCACAGAGAGGTCACACAGAATACAGAAGAGCTGGAATATAAACTTTGGACATTTCAATAGAAAACTCATTGTCTTAAGCATATGTGATACCACCTCGTCCCCCTCTGAACCTAGGAGAGCCTGAAAGTGTTTCCAAGGGCCCATGTCTCTCTTTGGTTCTTACCTTTTGGCAAAGGGTCTCTGCATTTCTAAGATGTTTAGCCTGATTTTTAAGTTTATGTTTATTTGATCTGGAAAATACAGTTCTTCTTCTCATGGCCCCTCTTAGACTTTTACCTTTTGGCCAAGGGTGCTCTCTGATCAAGGAGTGGACATCTACAACCTAGTCAGCCTTTCAAAAATGGCTATTTTCCCTACTCTCCACACACCTATGCCACCTTGGCTTGGTCACTACAGTGCCCACTCTCACCTAGGCACCTTTGCTACCACCATTCTTTGCAGTTATTTTCCCCACATCTCTAAACACTAACTCTTCTTTCAAGATATAACTCAAACACAACCTCCTGCAGGAAGCCCTGAAGCTCTCCCTGACCCCCCTTTCCCTAGTCTTATCATAATTGGCTCTTAATTATACATTTCATGATGTGAGTTTCCTAAAGTATTGTATCTTGTTCATCTCTACTTCCCCACCACAGTGACTAGTACAATGCCACAGTGACTAGTACAAAGCTAAAGAAGTCACAGATGACCAGCTCATTTAATAAGTATTGATAAAAAGACTCAGGAGAGTCTTCCTAAGGTCATTGTGTCCTCAGCTCATGTCTTCACAGTGACAGGCAGCATATTCCCTACCTTGTAACTAAGGAGTTCCTCAAGACTGCATTCTTGTTTTACCTTGTCATCTGAGATAAGAAACAGATACCCCATGACTTCCCCTATTTAGAGTCTTTGCATGGCTTGGGCTCAAGTAGAAAAACTCATTTCTATATAAATTGGCCTCCCTTCTTGCAGGTGAAATAGATGTGGTCTAAATTGGGAGCAAAGTTTATGCCTAGAGCAGCTCTAGGTCACTTGGAGCTAATTTGGAAGCTTCATTCTAACTGACTGGGCTTCCTGTGCCTCTAGGCTCTGAATTCAGAGTGGTGAAGCCTACATAGCTTTTCTACAGTAGATGTAGCACAAGTTACAAAACACTTGGGGCCTAGACATGTAATTGACTTTGCTAGCCCAAGGAAAGTGGGACGATTACACAGGTTATGTGAATGGAGAAAACATTGAGAAAGACTGATTCCCTACAAAATTAATGGAAGAGAGCTGTCTGGGAAAACACTGAACTTAATTTTTTTTTTTTTTTTTTAGACAGAGTCTTGCTCAATTGATGTTGTTGAGTAGATGAATATTCTATCTATCTCAAATTTTAATTGTAATGTAATCTAAACTCTGTGATAATATAGTAGAATGATTCTGTGAAGCTTAAGACTTGAAAATATTTTAAAAGTTTAATATGCATTTCAGACAGATGTGGCTGTTATTTGTTATTTAAGAAGCTGAAATTGAGTTCACAGTAATTGTTCCCTTCACTCAAACTGGCCCAACCCTGTGGCATTTATTACAATATATAGCAGGATGGGGTTCCATGGAGCTCAAGGCCATGACAATAGTAATGAGATGGTAAATATGAGGTAAATTGAGCCCAGCCAGATATCAGAAGACAATAGTCAAGATGGCAAATCTTAGCCAGCTGAGTGAGAGCAGAAACAAGAGGAGAGCTGAGATTAGGCATCAAGTCATGAGGCAAAAGCCCAATTCTGAACAAGAATTAGGAAGAAACCAAAATACGATTCTAAAGGAGAAAATACATGATTCAAGCTAGCAGAGATAATTTTGGAGGAAAAGTCCATGAATTTGCAGAGAAATTATTCTGTAGTGGTATAGAGTCTTGGAAGGCCAGGGGTCCCACCTTCTTAGACAACCTTCTGCTAGCTTTAAAGACTTTTACACTTGAGAACAAACTTATCACATGCACACACACAAAGAAACCCATAACAAAGCAACTGATCTAGATCCAGATCTCTAGAAAACCCATTCTGTTGACAACTGTTTCTCTGGATCAACGGGCCTGTAGCAAACATTGTTGGTTGTCTACCTGGCATCTTTTTCTCACTTTCTATGCCTCTGATGTTCTTTCAGTATCCACCTCTCCCTCCAAGCATTCCTGTGCTTCGGGGAAATTTAGTCCAACTTGAGCTCTCCCCTCAGCCTTAACCTCAGTACTAGGGCCAGGGTAGACTAGTCTGTGGGTGTTATCCCCCTTGCACCAATAGTCAGTTCAGAGCTCCAGGCTTAAGAAGACAAATGAGTGGCATTCTCCTAACCATTAACAGTTGGCTCAGGAATGATCATGTGACTCAATTCATGTCAACACAATGTGAGAAAAGTTTTGATGGAGACTTTTGTAGCAAAAAAAAAATATCAAACAATGGCTATACCCTTTCTTTTTGTGGACATTATGGGCCTGGAAGTGCTACAACCATTTTGCTTCCACAAAAAAATCCAGACTGAAGGAAATATCAACATGCAGAGGTGAAACAACCAAGGAACCTGCAGAAACACAGAAACAGAAAAGATTCCAAGAAGACTTCAAAGATTTCAACTGAAGTGGTGGGGTGATTGGTGTTGCCAGTTGCAAAAATGGGAAAAGTAGAAGTTGGATAGGTTTGAACAAAGGATGGTCAATAGGACTTGGGATAGGTTGAATTTGAATAAATAATTATTATCTAAATTAAGTTAATATATTGGTTTAAGGGCACTACCAAAGATTGGATACAGCCAATCCAGAAGCCAACCTTATTGTATTTCTGCTGAAAGGAATAGGGTTTATATTGGTACAAACCAATAGAAGTATTTAATTAAGTCTCTTTCATTTTGCTTTCTACTACTTGAAGCTAAATTATCATACTTCTTACCTAGTCTGACAAGACACTTTCTTTCTTCAGGTCCTTACATGGCCTGCAGGATATTTAGGTATTCAGTAGCATGACATGCTGCTATTGTTGCCAATCTAGCACCCCGTCCAGTACTGAAAGAAGCCACATAATATGGAAAAATGTTATTTTTGTATACAATTCATAGGCCTTTCTTTCCCCTTTAACAGCTCCAACGCTGAAATCGAACATTTGACATCCAACCATAAAACCATGCCTGTCATCTGTCTTGTCTGTTTCTGTTACTATAATAGAATACTTGAGATTGGGTAATCTATTAAAAAAAGCAAATGATTCCTCACAGTTCTGAGAGCTGAAAAGTCCAAGATCAAGAAATCATCAGCTTCAATGTCTGAATCTTCTCTTCAGACATTGAAGCTGCTGATTCCTTGATCAGTACCAAGATGTCACCTTGTTCCAAGATGGCACCTTGTTGCTGTGTCCTAACATAGCAGAAGGGCAAGAGAAGGCAAGAGGGAAAAAATGGCAGAAGTAACTAATCCTGTCATGATGGCATTAATTCCACCCATAAAGGCAGAGTCCTCATGGACTAATCCCCTCTCAAAAGTCCCACCTGTTATTATTGTTACAATGGCAATTAAATTTCAACATAAATTTTTGAGGCAACAAACAACAGCAGCATCCTTTCTGTTTCATGTAGATAATTAAATGAGGCATCTTTTACGTCATTTGCTTATGGTCAGTACCCTCTTTCTTGAGGGAACTGAAACTGATTCAAAAGGAACAGTTCAACATGAAATAGCCAATAGTACCTTCTCTCTATTGCAGTATATGATCTTTCAATCCCTAACTTGTGTACTTCACCTTCTCAAAAAGGTAAATTACTTTTATGCCAAGGTCTTAGCTTGGGAGGAGGTATGGGGCCAGGGGAAGACACAGGGGTGACCTATGAACCTGATATTTGAAAGTTCTTATCCACGAGGTCTGGCTATCAGCCTCAGAAGTAGTCAGTCACTTTTGCTTTTCATAAAGCTTCTCAATTTTTCTTGGAATGAGACCCTTGTCAAGAAACTCCACCAGCACTCTGGATACTTCAAAATATATCCGAATAGGCTAAAGGTGTCCAGACAACTTCTAAGAATATTGACATGAATGTCATGGCTCTTCATCTCAAGTCGTTCCCAGCCAAGTGGAAGAGATGCCAAATAAACAGAAAATTCTAGGTACACTCATTAAAATAATTCTGACTTGAGGCAATGAGTCAGCTGGATGAGAAGGCTGAGAGTAAGATGGCCAAACAAGAATCTACAGGTAGAAGATACAATGGACTGGACTTAAAGACTGAAAAGATACAGACAATGAAGAAAATGAATGATTCCCAACAAAGTCCAGAATTTCTAGTCTAAATGATAGAGTGGTGCTGTTATTGTTAAAAATAAAGAAACTTGGAGGGAGAACAGATAGGGAGAAAAGATGACAAATATGTGTGCTGCATTAAAAGTAAACAACCATGTACTGAATATCTACAATGAGTCAGACAAGATTATCCAAGTTTTGAAGCCTATCCTAACCCTCCTCTAACTGTGCTTCTATCCATAGGGTGAAGAGTTCATAAACCCTAGGAACATGCCCATTAAGAGTTTACACTTCTGTTTTCAGGCCACATTGCAGGGATCTACACATGTCTATGGAAAATTTCTCTCGTCTTGGGCAGAGCCAGTCATGGGAAGAGAACATGGATGAACTGCAGGCTAAGGGATAGCTTTCCCACATACTAACACATTTTGGCATGGCACTCAAATGCATCCAAGAATTCTACATTTAAATATGGTCTTCAAAGTTGTTAGAAAAATGTATTTGTCAAGGTAGGAAGCTAACATCTTATTTAACAGTTAGTCGACTTGATTGACTTCTAAATATTTAAGCAAATAATTTGTGGGCCTCTATTTGTTATCCTTGCCCTAGGCCCTACTGCTGTTAGAGAAAATGAACCTTTTCTGCCAGTGACTGTGCACATATATGATTTAATTTAAGCCTTATAACCAAACATTCAGTGTGGCTAAGGTTTACTGTCATGTTAAATTTTTATATTACAGGAGATTTTGAGGAACAAGGGTTATTAACACTGTCAAGTACCGCAAAAGACTAGGAGAAAAAGGTGATCAAAACAGGACACTGGGCTTAACAAGAAATATTTAAACACAGTCTTCAAGGATGGAGGTTCAGTGCACTGGTGGAGTTCAAAGCTAGACTGTATAACAGGAAAAGCACAGTGGTGGAAAATAGAGGCATCAAATTAAGGCTTCTCCTTGAAGTTAGGCAACAAAAAGAGGAAGTATGATGTCTGCCTAACATAGAGGAGGTAACCATAGTGAAGACAGAGAACTAAGTGTTATTGTGAGGAGAAAATGTGACGATACTGGAGGAAATGGGGGTGAATATCAGAAGATATAGCTCAGCATGGTATAAGAATGTTCAAACATGCCTTATCTTCTCTAGGCCATTAAGCCTTTAGAGATGTGCAAATGAATGGTGTGATCCCAGATCTCAAGCAGAATGGAAAGTCTACAAGTTCTCACAAATCAAGCAGGAAAAATAACAAATAACTAGACAATTACAGTAGAGGCTAATGAATGTTTTAATGGGGATAAGCAGGAGGAAAAGGGGAATGAGTTAGTTTGTAAATAGGCTACTCTAGCACGGCAATGCTGATTAGTAAAAAGATAATATATTTGACATTTTGCTAAAGAGTTGGGAAGCTGAGGAAACAGTTGTAGTATGATAAAACACTGAATGGCCAAATTTGCAAAGTTCTTACACAACTTTACAAACCATGCTGGTGTAGATATAATACAAAGCAGAAGTGGCAGGTTAAATTTCAAGGTTCTTTTATAGTTGTATGCATTCCCTCAACAAATATTTGCAAATTAGGTCCTGCTGAGGGGAGGCTTACCCTTTAGTGAGGCAAGGCAGGCTAAAAACCATTCAAAAACCAAATGGTGTGATCAACGTCCTCAGAGGGGAGGTCCGGGAACTGTGGGAGCCCACAGAGACTTGCAGAGCCCTAATACTTACATTTCTCCTTATTCACATATGCTTCCCTGCTAATGACCAAGTAATCTGAGGCAAGTTTTCTCCCAGCTACACCCTGAATTCTTTGAAATAAACCAAATACGCTTATTTGAGTGTATTTCCTGAGTTGACATCTGGGACGATAGCTGCTAGGTTGTGCCCTTAGTGTCACATAGATTACATAAACTGGAGAGCTCCAACAGTTAAGAAACTGAATTCAGCTACCTCTTGGGGAGCTGAGTGGCTATTCTAAAAAGAGCTGGAGTGATAGAAATTTCTGTATTCAGAATCAGTCCACCTCCCAGGCCTACTCCTGCAGTATTCCAACTGGTCCCTCCACTTGTAATTTGCCCTTCTCCAACATACATTTTAAAATAGCAGTTAAGTGTAATATTTCTTAAAATCCTTCAATACCTTCCCATTTAGAGCAATAACTAAGTTCTTTTCTGTGGTCTACAAAATCCCACCTGATATAGTCCCTGACGCATTACTCTACCTTATTCTTTTTCAAAGCATGCATTACCATTGGAAATTCTTTGTTTATTTCTCACCTATCTACTTCTCTACAATGTAAGCTTCACAAGGACAAAGACAAGCTGTGTCCCTGGAGCCTACCAATGTCTGGTGGATAAATGTTTGTTGTATTATTAAATG